TTGATGGGAATATTAGAATTCTCTGCAGACCCCACCATTCTCCGATGTCTCACACTCAGCCCGCTTTATTCATTCTCTAGAAGTAAGGCACAAGCCCTGGTTATAACCTTCAAACTCCAAGCTCCAGCCTGGCTGTCCACACTGGGAGGCCTGAAAAACAGGAAGTGACAAGGCAAGGCTTGGACTAGATATTATATTAACAGGCCCAGCAGTCGCTTGCCACCCAATTTAGCCCAGCTTGTCCAAGACCCAGGCCAGAGGTCCCAAAAGTTGACTAAAAGAAACCACAGTGTCTTTCAGGTGGGGTCTCAAAAAAAGTAAATTGGCTACCGTGAAGGCTTAGCGCCATCTGTCGGTCATTTTGGGAACTGCTTCTCTGCTGAGCCAGCTTGCTAAATTCAATGGCCATCAGGTAGCCCTGGAGACAAATTACCAGTCTGGGGGCCCTTTTAACTTTAATGGGGCTTTGGACACTGAGAAACCTTTGTGTGCTGGAGTTTGCATATACATTACATTAAATTCTCCTTTGAGGTCCAGGGACTCCAAGCTCACACAGCCCATGAGTGAGAGTCAGGTCATGGTGTTCCTTATGCCCAGATTGCTCCTTAAAACCGTTCCTCCCTCATCTCTGCCAGAGTCTCACAAATTATTTCCGGTGTCTGGGGTAACATCTGCAGGAACTGTGGCACTCCCTCCTTCCCTAGGGACACTAGCCTCCCAGATAACTATGTTCCTTATACCAGGTCCTGTCTAGCCTGCCAACCTTCTGGCTCCAAGGCTACTTAGATGAAATGCGTTCCCTCTTATGATCCCTGAGCTGGAGGGAAAAACCAATCAGCCACCCACAGGCTGCTGCCCCTACATGGTTCTGGAACTTTCTGGCCTTGCCCTACGTATAATGCCAGACAGCATTTCCAGGGCCCTTCATTTCTCTAACTGCAAAAGAAACTGCTGGGCATGGAGTCTCAGAACAAATGCATTGGAACAACGACTCCCAGGCAAACACCCGGGGCTGAGCTCAGACGCTAGCTAACTTCATTGCTGAAACCAGTATCTCTCACCCAGAGAGATAAGTGGAGCTGATTCGGGGAGACAGGGGATCTGATTGCCATGGCAACGATGAGAGGGACAGCCCTGAGGCTGTCATCACCCCTGTAACTGGCTGGGGGGGGTGGAAATTCTTCAGAACTGAGGAATAACGGAATGTGAGTGTAGGTTAAAGAGGCTGAAAGAATTCAAGGACTTCATTGAACAGGGCCATGTATACAGTTGGTGCCTAATAGGGGCATTGTCACTGAATGCACGAACCCTGGCTGAATGAATGGTTGGCCCTTCATTCACGTATTCAAACAAGTGTGTGTTTGGCTGTTGGTTGGCGCTGGGATTCTCACAACGCCCCCCCCAAGTGGAAAACACAGCCCTGAGTGTCTGCTTCAATGGGTGTGGGGTGGGGTAAGGATTGTCAAGCGCTTTTCAGGGGACAGTGGCCTAGTTGTCCAGGAACAATCTTTGAGAACCAGTGACTTGGAGTGATGAGTGATAGTGGCTGTCCTACCCTTGTGAGTATCTTTCCGGTTTAATGCTGAATTTGTAAATTTTCCCAAGAGCACGGTGTATTCCGAGAATAACAGTAGCTTGGAGCAGGGGGTTCTCCAAAGAGGGGGTGTTTATGCAAAGATCCTACATCTCAGTACGGTTTGTGTAGTTGGGGGAAGAGACGCGATTGTTTTATTAAACACAGAAAATGCTGGGACCGCTTCTTTCCTGTCGCCTTACCTAGCCCCTTAAGTTTTAGTGTAAGAGACATAATTAAGTCCCATTGTATGGATGAGGAGGCTTTGGCTGCTAGTGGCAAAGGAGAAGCCCGGAACTCATAGCAGGAACAGACCCTCCAGGTCTGTGCCTGCATAGACACCTTGAGGTTGCTGCTGCTATCTGAGTGGTAGGCGTCTGCCTTGCAGCCTGGACACAGCTGCAAGCCAGCCAGCGGCGCTGCTCTCCTCTCCCCTCCCGGGCTCTTCAAGTGTTTTCACTGATGGGTGAATTCAACAGATGCCTTTCGATCGCAGCCTATTAAATTAGCCCCTCTCTGCAGCCAAAAGAAGATAATTATGTTTTCATTAGCCCTGGGTAATATATTAGCCCTTGGTGGCAGCCACATAGAGTAAGCAAACCCAGTCCCTCTTCCCTTGGCTTCCCAGGGCCAACTCTTTGCAGAGGACCATGGAGAACATGGAGGCGGGTAGATAGAAACACTTTTTCTGCCCGCTGGCCATGCAGGGGTTTGGGGTGAGACCCCGTGCCTGGAGCAGATGTCTGGATATGTCAGCCAACTCAGTCCCTCTCAGACTAAGAAAGGCGACATCTACCCTTAAACGCCCAAGGCGGCTGCTGGTAGAATCAAGCCACAACACCCTCTAGGTCACTGCATCCAAGAGGCATTTAGGGACTGTTCCTATTATCCTGTCCAGAGCCACCTAGCTGATGGCAAGAATCTCTGGTTTGTTTTCCTGCACTTCTCGAGAATGTAGGCTCTGCCCCGCTTTAGCCAGGAGGCTCCCCAACACCGGGAGCCACTCCCCTCCCTTCCCAACCCAGCACAGTGGCTCCGGCTTCATTTCTCTCCCCCCTTTCTCTCCAAGAAGGCAAGCACTTCGGAGTCCTGAGGATGGAACCCAGGCCCTCGTACACAATCAGATGAGCACCGACACTGAACCACACCCCGCCCCGCCCCAGCCAGGATCTGGGTTCTAGCATCTGATTTCTCATTCGCTGCTTTGGGGGCTAGGAGAGGTTCCGTCTCCAGAGCCACCAATGTCCCCTCTGTGGGGCACGAGTGAGGAGAGGAGCCACCCTTGTCCTTTTGGTGACAATTTAATGAACTGTGTGCCTGTAAAGGCTTGCTTCAAAGCCAGCGAAATGAAAAGTGACCCATGGGAGAGAGCCATGGTCCTCTCTAACCAAGTAACTGGGTTACATCCTGGTTCTCCTTAACCCCATGGAAACAAGGGTGAGGATGACAAGTCTGTCTGTCTGGTGGTGGTGGGGCTCTTCTGGTCTCTATATAAATACCTGCTTCTATTTCTCTCTCTGTCTCTCTCTCTGTCTCTCTCTGTCTCTCTCTCTCTCTCTCACACACACACACACACACACACACAACACATGCACACACACACACACAAACTGCTCTTGGTGGTAGGCTCCTCCCCTGGACTCAGGCTCTGTCCTTCCTGCAGGAGCTCCAGAACCTCTTAGTCCTGTCTTACCATCACTTGCACCAGGATGCCTAGCAACAGTGACAGGATTGGGGGCAGTGGGTTTCTGTCTCCTTCTCCCCTAACAGGCCAATTCTGCTTCTTCAGTCACACAGCCAAGCCTTGGCCCTGACCCCATATGTCACAGCTCTGCCTTCCCCACTGACCACCCTTTGAATGGGAGATGGCACACTCTGAACCTCTGCTGACCCCAACTCCCCCACACAGCAGGCTGGCATGGGGCTCTAGAGCAGGTGAACTGCCAGCCCACTGGAGAAGCAGCCTCTCTTCCTGGCTTCCTGATTTTCCCCAGTTGCCATGGTAATTGAGGGAGCAGTATTGAGACCCAACACCGTGGAAGCCCAGTGCTCAACTTCGAAAGGGATCAGGGAGAAGCTGGGCCCAGGATGGACAGAGTCCAGACTGCAAGGACTTACTCCAACCTCCTCTTCTAGGACACTCATTTACCCCGTGACATATAGTCAGTCCTCCTCATCAGTGTCAGCATGGCTGACTGGTCTTTTCGGAGCAGGTACTGTATGCCAGACACTAAATTAAGAGCATTGCCACTATCGCTTAACTATACCAGCCTCACCACAGCTCAAGACCCACGTCAGAGGCTCAGGAAGCAGGCTTCAGACCTGGCACACCCAGTCAGGAAGCGGCAGAGCCTGGCAGGCCGATGGAATTTCTCAGGCCCTCCCTGGACACACACTCTTCACACCCCACCAGTGTTTTCTCTTGCCTCCCTCCCCTCCCCTGATCCTCTAGCTCTCTTCCTGCGCCCCTCAAGGGCATAGCCCCTTTCCCCAGGCTTGACACGTAAGATTATCTGAAGACCATGTATGAGCAACAAGGAGGGGTAGCTGGCTCTCGGCCTCTGTGCAACTGTACTCAGAGTGTGCCACTCCTTTGCTGAGGCTGGGGGTGGGGGAGAGCAAGCTAGCAGCCAGGTGTCTGGGTGTGTTTGGGTCTGAATCCTTGTCTCCTTCCTTGAGTCTGACTCCCCCTACACACACTCACACACACACACACACACACACACACACACACACTCCTTCCCCAAGAGTGTGTGAGCAATAGCGACAGTTAAATGCAAAAAGCGCCTGTGCAATCTGCCCAGGGAAAGACAGCTTTAGAGACGGGTTTATATGGTTACCCATATGTTAGAGCCCCTAAGAAAGGAAGGGAAGAGTTCTCTGAGCCTGCCCCTCCCCCAGCCCAGCCCTTGGCCTCTCCTGGCATTGGGGTCTCCAGACGATAAGAGAATAAGACTCCCCTGCGGGGGTTTTCTACCCCTCCCTACACACAACACCTATACTTTGCTCTGAAAAACACCAGAACTAGACATCTTTTTCAGAATGTCTGCCCAGCCAAGAACCAGGGCCAGAACCCAGGCTGTCTTCTCCCGCGGGCTCTGTGAGGGGCTTCTTGCCCTGCTCCGAGGGGCTGTGCGCGAGCTGTCCCATTAAGGAATTGTTGCACCACGTTGGACAGAGACAACCACCTGCCTCAGCTAGATCCTCCTCTGCTCCCCCTCCCCACTGTGGTCACTACCTCCAGCCCCCTTCGGACTTCTCAAAATTGTCATTGTGTGTATGTTGATCTTTTTTCTGATAGAAAAAATGGAAATTAGGTTACATAAAAGATGTATGCTTTCAAGCCCAGAGCGGCCCTTTTAATGAGGGTTGCGACGTCTCCCTCCCCACGCCCATAAACCAGCCCGTTGGACGTCACCACTAATTCGTTTCAGCGGTGATAGGATAAAGCAGGGACATTAAGAAATAAATTCCCCCTCACGACCCTCGCTGAGCTCGCAGCGCGGTCCCTGCATATTGATGCAGCCGCGGGGCGCAAGCGACTACTTAGCACAGCCTCTACTCCGAGGGGCAGCTGTGGCCGGGGTGAGCCGGGTTGCGCATGGGGACGCTGGCAACCTCCAGTCCTGAACTTGGCTGGGCTAGGGCGGAGCGAGGCGGGAGCTAGGGGCCGGGAGGGGGCGGGGAGCGCTCGCTCTGGAAGCTCCTATCCCCGAGGCGCTGCTGAAGCCTGGAGCATCCTGCCCCGGAGCGAGGCTCTGAATCTGCGCGCTTGACAGCCGCGGCAGAAGGAGGCGCGGGAGACAGGGTGATCAGCAAGACCCACAGCCCTGGAACTGCGCGGGGACTCTGGCAGCAGGTGAGTTCTCTACCTCGAATCTAGGGTGTCCCATGTACCCTCTCCCAGACCGGTGCTCTAGCTCGGACAGTGTGCGTCCCAACTTGGCTCTCTCCTTGGTAGCCTGGTTCTCCTGGTAATGGGGCGGACCCAGGTACCCGAGATGTGAGCTCCTGGGAAGATGGGTCCTATCACCTCGCTCCAACTTTACAGGGTCAGCGGACCCTCCCAACCCCATTTCCCGATGTTCCCTACCCCTGAGTCACAACGGCAGGGATCCATGACCCTAGTCTTTTATGTAGCCTGAGGCTTAGGATGCTTGACCCTGAGAACCTTGGCACCTGCGGGGCCTCAACTTCCTCCTCTGGGAGACTGTAGCTTCCTCGCTCCTGCCACCACCACCCCCCTAGCAGTGACCCTGTTGGTGACTCTGACATGGCCAGAGGGGACCTGGGCTGCAAGGCTGGCTTGCTGGAGCGCTGCTCCTTCCTTGGCTTTCCAACTTTGCTCCTGCGGGCTGGCACAATCCTGTAAAGCAGCCCTCACTTCCCCAAACGGGAAAGTTGCACCTCTCCCGCCAAGGAGACTGTAGAGAGCTCCTGATGGTTCCCAGAGCAGAGGGAAGGCACTCTGAGGGTCTCTGCCATGCACAGCTTTTCATCCAAGGAACTCAAGAGTGAGGCAGGATTCCCAGGAGATTCGACTTCCCTGGCCACTCGTGGACACTTGAGTCTTGGAGTGGAGCACAGGACGTGAGAGGCTCACCTCCACCCTTAGGGCGAGGTGGCCTCAGCACCTGCAGCTGTCTGTACACTGGAGACCTGGCTGTCTGGAGCAAGCCAGGCTCGAACAGGCATACAGCGGGGCAGGGACCTTAGAGGGACTCCCCTGGGTTCTAATCCTAAAGCTGCTGTTTCAGGTGAGTCCCTTCCTCTCTCTAAGTCTATTTTTCTCGTGTGTAAAAGAAGTGGCCCTCTCCGGGGGATTTGTTGACAAACATTTAAAACATCGTAAGTGTTGATGATACCCGAAGCTGAGGGTAGGTCCTCAGTGCGCGGGAAATATTACTGGTGGTCGCGTCTGATACAGCCTGGGACAGATCCTGGGGCATCTTGTGGTTTCGCTAGACCGAGGGTCCTCAGGAAGGTGATTTAAGCTGCGCCTACCTCCATCTCCCAGTCTGCCCAAGCAGACCCTGGGGAGATGCATCCCATTTTGCTGCAGATGAGGCTCTTTAAAACATTGGCCGACTCATGGGGAACCCCAAATCTGGCTTCACACCCATATTCACAGACTGCATAGGGAGCTCTAGAGGCCCCCCACAGAGGGAGAGTTCCCCAAAGGTGAGTTGGCAGGTGTGATATGCAGGCAAGCCTGGGGCACACAGGGAGTGTCTGCTCCAATACTGGGGGCCAACAAAAGGAGTTGACCCTTCAGGCCACTCCGCTAAAATGGGTGTGAGGAAAAGCACCCCCCTTGCTCAGTCCCACTCAAACTGGGATCAGAGCAAATAACAGATCTGGGGGGATGGGGGCCTGAAGACAGCTTCCTGGAAAACTGATTTTCTTGGTTGGATTTTTGCTTTTGTGTTTAGTGGGTTTGTTTGGGGTTTTGTTTTTTTAAAACTTGGAGTGTATGCCAGAATGGAGTGTAGGGGTTATGCCCACTCTTTATCCTTGGGAGCTGTCAGCAGGCAGGGTTGAGAATCCTTCACAGGTTCCCAAAAGGAAGCACTTTATCCCCACGATTGCCAATGCCACTGCCCTAGTCCAGATTCTAGAAGAAACCGAGAGACATGGCGCTTTGCGCATGCTGCAAGCTTCTACCGCATACAGGATGTGTCTGGAATATCTTGACTTCCCCAATACCTAGGATGGCTACCTGACCCTCACTTTCCAGATAAGGAAACAGACTAGCTACCCATAGTCAACCAAGGAGACCTCCACCCAGATTTGTGGCTTCCTAAACTTGGCGGGGGGAAGGGGGGTTGCCTGCATAGCCACCTCCAGATGCACCTGCACAGCCAGACTATCCCCAGAGAGACTTCATAAGGTCTGGGGACCCCTCCCCAAAGTCCCAGCATGTGCATGGGAAGAGCAAGCAGCAAAGTGGAGACCTGTTGAAGATTTTTGCCTGAAGTTAAGTTTGCTCCGTGGCTGTGAGACCTTCCATTTGGTGGCTTAACATCTCTGAGCTTCAGTCCCATTGTCTGTCAAATGAGAGAATCATTCCTACAAGAGGCTATCTTGAAGATTCTGTGATGTTCTGGAGACACCCTCAGTGTGTGAAAGTTCTTGGGTTTTTGTTTTTTAAATAGAGAGAATTAAGCCCAGGTTGGGTGGGGGTCTGCCCTGGAGCAAACAACATGTAGAGTCTCTCCTTGCCTCTTGTTCATTTTCCCCAAATGGCTAAAGTTAGCCCCCAAGGGCTCTGTCTCTGGGGAGCAACCCTAGGGGAAAGCCTGTGGTAAGTGCTCTTGTAGAAAGTCCCTACGGGGTCTCTAGGACAAGCTGCCAGGCGCTGTCCAAGGTACTGGGGGAAAGTGTTCCAAATATTTCCCAGCCCTCATGGGGACGACTTGGGAGTCAGCTTGCCTAGGTTTATAAGCATGAAGAAATTTGGGCCGCGTGCGCTCGCGTGTGAGTGTGTGTGTGTGTGTGTGTGTGTGTGTGTGTGTGTGTGTGTGTGTGTGTGTGTGTGTGTGTGTCCCTGGGTGTCTTATGACAGCTCTCGGCTCTCGGCCTGTCACACGGGTTCCCAGTGGGTCTCAGCAGGGGTGAGTGTGCTTCAGAATGCAGTTAAGAATCATAGGCAAGAAGTATGCTCACCAGAGAGGTTGGCATTCTGAGAGATTGAATTTGGCAACTTGAGCAGTTTTCACACAGACTGTTTCCACAAAGGGGCACACTTTCCCACCCCAAAACAGTGTGGGGCTGGGTGGTTAATAAGGCAAGGGCTGCAGATGGTGTACACAAGCCTTTTTGTCTCCTGACGTCTGATCACCTTTAGACATCTTGCGATAGAGTGAGTGTCAAACGTCTGCCCAGCCAACCAGCAACGTCAGAGCCACAGACTGGAAGCAGAGATGTCAGGACCTCTGTCTGCAGAGTCCTCGTCTCTGCAGGAGACATGAAGTATCTGCAATTAGATAGAGCTTACCTAGAAGATTCTAAGGCCCTTGCATTCCTGACCTCATTGTGCAGAACTAGAGAAGACAAGTGACTTGTCAAAAGTCGCACAGCCCTTCTTTGACAAAGTAAGGGGGTCAGTCTTCATGTCTTGGTGTTTTGTCTAGAATTTGTGGATATTTCATGTTGTCCTCTCAGTAGACATACAGTCCCTGAGTCAGGCATGGATGAGGCAGGACTTCCTCTCCTCCGATCATCCCTGTAAGTTGGGGAGCTGTTGGGGTTCCTCCCACCTCAATCTTGCTAGACATCAGCCCCAAGTTCCCATCCAGAAGTAAGCCTTAGCCCACTGGTTAATTCTTCCAGGGAGAAAGTTCCTTTTCAAAGGGATCTGTCAGGGATGACTTCAGAACCAAGCAAGCACTGGTTCTGAACTGTCACCGGTCTCACCAAAGCCTTTGCTTTGTGCTCAGCCCTGGCCCAGCCTTGGCAAATCTTCAGTGTGTCTGTTGGCCTCAAGCTTTTGAACCTGGGAAGGAGGGAGTGAGCAGACTGCCATGCTGGGAAATGGAGCTGGTTTGGAGCTGTTCAACACAAATAACACATCAACAGAAAATGCTGCCGAGGTCTCCTGTGTGAGCATTAGCAGGGCCCTGTGGGCACACATCTTGCCATATCTCTGTTCAGTGAGAAAAGCCAAAAATTAGGGCAGTTACCATGGGTGGCCCTGCAATGCACACCTGCACATGTCACATCGTGTGTTGTTAATGCTGCATGTCCAAGGGCAGGTACCAGATACACTATGACCGCCCTGAGGTTGGCTGGATCAGGCAGTGGGGGCATCCGGTAAGCCCCGTGCCAAGTGTGACATTTCTTCAGCAGTGGTGGGAGTGTTTTGCCACTGCTTCCAGGGTGGTGTGGCTGAGGGAACCGAGGGAGATGTCTCAGAGGCGGGTACATCAGAGATGGTATCCTAGTCTTTACTAATCTCCTTGGTGATAGGGCATCTTCCACTATGAGCTGACCCCAGTCTGATCACAAGGCAAAGTGTCATAGAAAATCAATATGGGCATCAGATAGGATGTCTCCAGGGACTCAGTGATTTGGGATCAGTGAGTTGAGCTCCCTAACCCTTGGCACGTCATCCATACAACCTTAAATACTATTCGAGCTGTCAGGAGGAGTCAGTGTGGCAGCACTGTGAAAGGGGACAGAATCTAGTAACCAAAGCAGGAGACCCCTTCAATTGGCCGGTTGTTTGGTCTGAGCCTTAGCCTCTTGCTAAGCCTCCATTTTCTATCTGCGAAATGCAGACTTTGGAATCCATGGTGGCTCCATCTAGATAGCTATTGAGTTTCTGAGCGAGGCTGGTACACAGTTGTGTTTTGTTGGTGTGCATTTGGATGGGGGGAGGGCCTCTTGTTACAGGCTTTTGTTACAGTTTATTGATCTAAATCATCGCAGGACCAGTACATATGGTCCATGTCACTTACCTGGCCTCAGAGGTATTTGGGATACAAGCCCTGGGCTATCGGCCCCCAGAGCCTCGTTAACATCAATATTTTCTCCTTCATCTGAGACATACATTGCTTAGGCATGGCCCCTTCGTTATGCCAAAAGGAGAATTCCTTGTTCAAATGGAAGTCAGAAATGCTTTGCCAGGGACATGGTCTCTGGGCGCAGCTGGGACATGCCCTGTCTCACAGGTTCCCATGTTTGGTGCCTCATTGTGCCTGGTGCCACCTGGTTTCCCAGGAAGGGTGGCTCTGAGTCTGGAGCACCACACTGTGCTTCAGGAGTTTGTGACAGAAGTCCCTGGAATAAATTCTCCAGGCTTTCAGAGGTGCTCCAAAATTGTATCAGCTTCCACCAGAAACATTGGCCCAACATTGC